TTTCTTCTTTCATCCCGATTAAGCCAATTATTGCTCTGTAGATATATAAAATATATATATCCTGCAATTTTTTATTCTGATAAGTTGTTTGTATTTGATAGATAACCTTTATTGATCAATGTGGTTCTGATATAAGGTAAGAGATCACATGTATACGGTATTTCGATAAGATCTATTCCTTGTCTTTTACATAAATCCTGCTTTTTTTGATCTCGTATCCTTTGGTCATCCAAATCAATTTGCCCCTTTTTATGAAACATCGCATTTTGATGATAGTGTTAAACACCCTGAAATTCGAATGCAAGGCCTAACTCTTTGTTATACCCGTCCAACTACATTCCATTCAAAAATGATAGTTTACAGGATGTGAATTTTTTATTTAGTAAATCTTCGAAAATATATCTTACGTTTCTCTCAGTGGTATGATGGCATAAGGGGCACCATTCAAATTTCGTAGTTATTAATGGATATGGATATTCCCACTGATGCTTTCCATTTTCACAGGACCAGAGGTATACATCAAAATCATTTATTTGGCCAGTTTTATCAAGACATTTTCTGCCACGCTTCTCAGCATATGCAACGGCTTTAGCCATTTTATTAATAATACGAACGAAATTAACAAATTGGAAATGAGTATTTTCTTCCAATATACTCTGGGGCGGATACTGAAGCATATTAATATTCACATATAAGAGTTCCTCTCTCACAAATCCACACTTTGGTGTAAACTCATCACCTTCTAAGTAATATAAAATAGGCTCATTCTTCGTTACAACAATTTTTCGAATTTTATGTAATGAAGGACTCCATATTGGATCTGTGCTTCTGCGATTCTCTAAACCTGGTGAGCCTTCCCACTCTCCATTGGCTAACAAATAACGAACTGTATCACCCTTCTTTAACTTATTTTCCTCATTTTTTTCAACTAGACGCTTATATTTTGTAGATGGCCTAGATTCTACTCGTTCCAGTTTGATAGCTTTTGCTGGAGCTAAACCCCACTTTGAAGAACCTGAGCTCGGATGAGGCGCGTAGGATAATTATTAAGATAATCTATTACTTTGGATAAATGTTTAACCTATGCTCTTATTAATTTAGGGTCCGAGGATATACTTTCAACGCTATATTGAATCTTATATAGCATTTCAGCTAGAGTTTTATTAAATCTCTCCACAATTGCTGTATTACGATGGGAATATGGACCAATAACTCGAATTACTACACCATGTTTCTCCATTATTCTACTAGTTTCGCCCATCCATTCCTGACCATTATCTGTTTGTAACAATCGAGGCCAGATTAATAGGTAATTATAGCTATTATATATTTTCTTAAATGCTTTAGTAGCTTCTGAACTTTTCTTTGACATGAGAGGAACCGAGGCCTTATATTCTGACGCACAATCCACTATATTTAATACTGCTTTGTATGTCTTTCCTTTATATTTGTCATGTGTTAGAAACAGTATATCAGCCTGGTGTATACAATTAGGACGTGATATCCGACCATAGCTGGCTCTAGTGATGTGTTTTGGAGGAGGCTTATAAATTTGGTACTGTTGTTGACACTCCAACCACTCACAAATTTTTTTATATAAGAAATGGTAGCCTTCATCCTTGATAGCTTTATATAATTTTTAAGCACTGGAATGGTAACCAGTGGGGTTATAATAAATTAACCGGCAAACAAGATCTACTTCCTCATCAGGATCTATAGTAATACTAGGTTGGTCCATTTTTAATGTATTTTACTATATTAATAAATTATTATTTGACAAAGTTTCCAGAAGCGTCGATATATTATAGGCTTGTACAATGCCATCAGATACAATAGTGTCTCCACCTAGTGAAACAATCAAAAAATTCGAAGCTAGTTTGCAGATAATAAAAA